CATTACCAGTACATACCTAACCCTAACCTAACCATTACCAGTACATAGCTAACCCTAAACCTAACAATTACCAGTACATAACTAACCCTAACCCATCGTCAATTCACACCTTAGTCCTAAACCTAACCCCTAATCCACCAATGACACTTGAACCTTGACCAGGCTTTCGTCCCCACAATGAGCAGTTGGTCCTCACAATGTAGTATGTGTTGAAAAATGGGCCTCACAAAGTAACATAAACAAGCGCACACACACACCTGTCCTCATCTTCTTCCACTCTGATGACAGAGACGACCGGCCTGTTATGATGTATCGGCCAATGGGACTGTGGTTATCATAACCACGACTCCACCTCAGCTCCACAGATGTCTCTGCCACATTCTTCACCAGCAGACCTCCAGGTGGTCCTGGGGGGCCTGCACGCACAAGGAAGAAAAACCTCTGACTTGTACAAAACTTATACAAAAATCAAACTCAACCAATCAGAAGGAGCACATAAACTCTGAATTTTTTCTTTAAACATAATGCAGGAACATGTCTGTTTACCACACAATACATTATCTTCGTCTCAGGGTTTAACACCCCTCCAGCCCTCGTTCATCCGGTAATTGGACCCCCCTAGACTCCTGAGTATTACCCAAACAATACTATGGTCAGGCCCTGTTAGGCTGAGTTCGAGAAAGATTCGACCAGGCACTAACAACCTTCATCTGCAGGACGCACCCCTATTTCACCTCACAGCTCTCAGAGTTAAGTAGCAGTGACACCAAAGTTTACCATAAGGTATCCTGCATTATGCAAATTACCTAGGCCAGGACAAGTTGGCCATATTCGGGGATGCTGTTCAAAAATCTAACTAAGTAACCGATCAAAACCTCCAAAAATCTCAGAACCAAGCACACTTCCTGAGTAAGCTCAGCAATGAGCGTGTATCATTCAGGTGCCATCAGGAAAATGAGTCCAACACTCTGATTTTCATGCTTTGTGTTTTTAATCATACATTTCTATAAGGTTACATTCGTAGCCAAAAATGTCCATGCTCAATAATCCAGGTATACAATCCAACAATTTTCAGTCAAGTCATCTGGACAGTTTATTTTTTCTGAAACGTTTCACCTTCCATCCAGAAGGCTTCATCAGTCAAGGAAACACACAACACAAAACTGATTATTCCCCCAAACAGCTTACTCCAAAGTGGAACAAACCAGTTATGTTGGTGCTAAGATGGTGTCTTTGGCACGCCCCCTCCTCAGTTGCCGGCCCTCTTCCTCGTTGACAGTCATGTCAAACTGGTTCCAAACCAAAAAAGTCCATGCTCAATAATCCAGGTATACAATCCAACAATTTTAGAATTAGAACACTGTGAAGACATCAGCCCACACTACTTCTCAGTTTTTGCAGAAAAAAAGAAAGAAATTAGGATCACAACAAATCAATCAAAATATGGTTCTTTCAAAACGATATGTCTTCAATACTTTGTTGTGAATCTCTTTGCCTTAATCAGTGCCTCGATGTGACGTGGCATTGAGGCACTCGGTCTGTGGCATTGACTGGGAGTTATGGAAGCCCAGATTACGGATACAATGAGCACGTTTTGATATATATATATATATATATATATATATATATATATATCAGGACTGTTATATAAAACACTTTGACCTACAAAACAAAGTGGAATAAAACAATTTGTGCTGATTTAAAAAAATTAAAATGAGGAAGTCGGGATGAACGGATACAATGAGCACGTTTTGCAGTGAACGGCTTTTCGAAGCGGGCTTGAAGCATGACACTGCAACTCAGCTCCTGGTCAATGTTTAGCTGGACCTGTACTTGGTCTTCAGTGCAGCAACAGCAGAGAAGTCAGTGTCACAAACATAAGAAGTTGCAAAAGGAAGAAGAATGCCCATGGCCCTCTGCGAAAGAGGAAAGAGAGGGGAGGTATCCCTCTCGCTTTGAGTGTACTCTCTGTCACATGCGTGCTGTAACTGACAAGCGTCCAGATCATCATAAAAACAGCGGCTTAACTGAGGAGGCCAATATATTAATAGAATAGAGTCCTAAGATTTATTAAACATTACTTCTGTATTTACACACACACAAAAAAACACATTAGTGCTTTGACAAGCTCATCGATAAAATTAAAACATTTTGTCAACGCAAAAGAGGAAAGAGGGGACAGGTGTCGCTCTCGCGTTGAGTTTATACTCTATGTTATATGTGTGCTGTGGGTGACAAGTGTGCAGACGTCATAAAAACAGCAGCGGAGGTGTTGGGAGTTATTCATTTATCGTCTCAGCAGCAGAAGGGAGCGACACGGTTCAAACATGGCTCCCAAAACAACAAGGCAGTCATATTTGTGTGTAACTTTATTACCGTAGTAAGCCTGAGAGTTGCCGGTACCTGAACGCCCTGTCAAAATGAGAATAGTACCAAAAAAAAAAAAAAAACCAGCTACCTGCAGCAAAACAAAACGTATTCTCCAGGGTCACACGTGCCCCCCCACAGCATGGCCCCGGTCCCCCGACAGGGGGGCACGCCCCACTATTTGAGAAGGAGGGAGCTGTTGTGAGAGTGGACTAATCTTACCTCGGACGACCAGTTTAGCTGAAGAAGCAGCGCTGTCCACGACGGTCTGAGCTGTGCAGGTAAAAGCTCCTGCCTGACTCAGCTGGGCGCCCACAATCAGCAGGTCACCAATGTTTTCCTTCTGAGCACAGAAAACAAAAAGTCAAACTGTTGAGCTCTGCTGTGTTTCACAAACTGTCTGAAAATATGCCCTCTAAAAGCAATATAAGTTGCAAAGCTACACACAGCAGAACACTTATAGTGCAGAGGAAAAAACAAAAAACACATAGATCACCAAACATACAGAACACATGCACTGTAGCGTGCGTTCAACTTGATACCTTAAAATAAATTACTTTTATTCCAAACAAGCAGTACGCCAATGTCCCCCACCACTGAGGGATTTGAATAGTGAATGTTTGTAGTTTTGGAGATGAGTGTTTTTCTAGAGGGCAGCACGGTGGCGCAGCAGGTAGAGCTGCTGCCTCTCAGCCAGCTGGTTACCCTGGTTCAAACCCCGGTTCAAGGGCCTTCTGGGTGGAGTTTACATGTTCTCTCCGTGCATGCGTGGGTTTTCTCAAGTTACTCCAGTTTCCTCCCACAGACCAAAAACATGCATGTTAGACTGACTGGTGACTCTAAATTGTTCCTAGGTGAGAGAGAGAGTGAATGGTTGTTTGTCTCGTTTGTCTCTATGTATCCCTGTGATGGACTGGAGACCTGTCCAAGGTGTCCCCCGCGTCTCACACAGTGACTGCTGGACATGGACACCAGTGACCCCTGCGACCCAAAAAGGAAGAAGCGGGTAAAGAAAATGGACGGATGGATGTTTTTCTAGCCTGGAATTGAGCAGAGAATGAGTAAACCTAAATGTTGGTGTAAGATATCCTGACGCATGCTCAATAATCCACGTAGAAAAATCTAAAAAAGTTAAGTCTGGAGCAGCTGGTTTTGGTTGTCAGCAGCAAACTGGTTGATCCACTCTGAGAAGGTGCTATTTATAAGACTGAGCTGAATACAGCACCTCAGACTGAGGAAGTCTCTCGGATGAGAGATGAAACGTTTCTACATTTTTTTTGTTTAGTTTTTTGAATGTCCAACTTTTGTAGTTGGTGTAAGATATTCTTGTGGGTAGGAGTTACGCTGTAGAAGAACTGAGGAAGTTTTTTTTTTTGTTTTTTTTCATGCTTGTCGAAAGCGGCGTAAAGTGACAGATCCTGGTGAGTGGAGGGAACTATTTTATCTCTGACCAGGAGAAACAGTGGAGCCACAAGAATTAATCTTCAGCCACCCCAATCATCTGAGGAAACTACTTTAAGCAATATAAAAACCAAAGGCATAGTTTCCTAAAATGAAAGGAGTTGGTTCACACACACACACACACACACACACACACACACACACACACACACAC